GACAGACAGGACAAAAACAATATACCCCCGATCTTTCGATCCGGGGGCATAAAAAGAATTTAAATATAATAGTCAATCGGGCTTATGCAGGTTATGTATTTTATTTGCAACAGCTGCGACATTTATTCCTGTACTAGCAAGCAAAGAAACTCATTTTATCATAAACTCATAGATATGATTTTTTTTCTACTGGTGGTACTTTAGCTCCCTGGTTATTTATCTCATTTTTTCAGACTAGCGAGACTCAGATCTACTGTTCAAAAGATACCTAATTATTTGAATTTAATAGCTGTGATCTTCTGCATCATCTATGAATGTTATATTTTTCAATACGAGACGTACTCAATGACAATACAGATATTTTATTTCTCATTTTTGATCAGAAAAAATTAAGTAGTAAGGTTGATAGCACAGTATTATATAAATAATGCATGAAGTTGAATGTAACATTGAAAATTTTCACCCCGAGAAAACCATCGTCAACCGAGGCGTAGCCAATGTTGACAATGGTTTTCGAGGGGTGAAAATTTTCAATGTTACACTCAACTACATGCAATATTTATCATATTATACTGAATGTTTTACACAAATACATATAACAGTGAACTGTGCGCGCATAAATTCTGCGCAGTCGCTATTTTTTGGAAGATCATCAGTCGTCAAGCAAAGTTGACTGTTTCTGCGCTGGAGGGCGTGGCTTCATTATTCAGCGGGTAATAGTATTTTTTAACAAATGTTTCTCCATCAATCAGATTCAACTAATTAACATGAAAGTAAAATATAATAACTTATTTAATGATTTAAACACTTTTAATGACATTACTTTGAATGCAACTTTCATTCCAGTTTATGTTAAAAATACTCATACAACCTTACAGATTAAGACACGTTTATTTTACACTAACTTTTTGATACTTTATATGCAGATTGAAATACATTGTAAAGTTGATGACACTCTCCCCGTCACTACAGCTCAAGTTAGCAGTGACTTGACGTCATTTTGAATTACGCAAGTGAGTTAAGGCTAAATATGGATATATCTATGCCAATGAGCTGATACAAATTCATAAGTTGTACATTTTATGTACAGAGAAAGTTCGAATTGAATTTCTTATACATATTTAGTGTAGCATAGCAGAATTTTGTATATATAACTTTAAATTGTGATTTATTTTTATGCACTTATAATTATGAAATATAGGTAGGCAAATAAAAGTTTTACAAATATATAAAATTACAAAGTTATTAAAAGTGTCTGTGTTGATTTATTTTACATTTTGTTGAATTAATTATTTTCCCGCCAAAACTCTATTGAGCGATTGGTTTGGACATGTCACATGACTAGTGATCGTAGACTGGTTTTTGAATCTATTTGGGGTGTTGGTTACTTTTGTCCAGTGCTGTGTGTTTTGGCTTCATTTTCAATTTCCCCTATTTTAGCTTTTCAGTGTATTTTTTAAATAGAATAATTTGAGGTACGAACTAATATTTTTCGTGCGACTTAATTTGATGTTTAAGATTACCGCCATACTTTGTTGATTTTTTTGTCTTTCTGTCTGAACCCTAGCCATCTACAGTGTAAGTTGATAATAGAATTTATCTTATGTTAAATTTCTTGGTCTTTATCTATATTACTTGTGTGTTAAATGCTATAGATGCTAACTTTTGCATTTTCTTATATTTTGTAAATCTTTGAATTCCATGTGCTCGGAGTATGGTGCGCCATTATGTACATCAGTTTTTTGAATCGTGTATTGTCATCTATATTTTTGAGTGAACACTTATTATTATCTTTTTGAAGTAATACGCTTAACTATTCTTACAATTTAAGAAATTTTATTATTGTGTACATTATTAATGTGCTTGCTTTACTATTTAGAACACCTGTTTGTGAAAATTTTTCTACGGAAAGTCATAGCTGTCATTATTTTTTCTTATTTTGTTATGTTACAGCTTTTTACCACATCCTTATGGTTATCTTTCTGCTGAGTATTATCTGAATAAAGTCATTATTGCGGCAGAACAGTAAAAAGACTACAGAATGAGCACACAGGGGGAGAAAACAGGAACTGAATCAACCTTGGAACATGGTGATGGAACACTACCAGAGACCAATGCTTCATTGTCCAACAAGGATGACCACAACGTTACACAGGCAGACCCTGTAAAGAACAAGGTGGACCTTAAGAGCAATGGAAGTATTCACAGTGTTCATTCCCAGTCGTCAGAAGTAAAGGACCATAATGGCAATGGAAGTACTGACAGTATTCCTTCTCAGTCAAGTGGTGAATTTACTCTCTTCACTGAAGATCTTGCAAGGAAAAGAGCAGAGGCAAAGGCAGCCAAGGCAAAAATTCAGTATGCGATAAAGGAATTAGAACTACGAAAGAAGCAAGCAGAGATAGAAGCAGAGCTCGAGGTGCTGAACCTGCAGAGAGAGGCAGAAGAGGCAGAGGCGGAATGTCAGATGCTGGAGTCCACCATGGGATGTATGTCACCAATGTCAGCTCCGGTCAAAGATTCCAACCCTCCACAGACCCAAGGAACAACGAGTCATGTTGATATACAGGCTTCTCCTGTCATACATATGAACCCATATGCACCACCATATATTCCACATCAACAGACCTCACCTCAAGTGGCTGACGTAACTCGATTTCTACTTAGAAAGGACTTACTCTTTTCTAGACTTTCTAGCTTTAATGACAAACCAGAATCATACTGTGCATGGAAATCAAGTTTCCTTTCTGTTGTGAACGAACTACAGATTCTGGCGTCCGAACAAATGGATCTCCTGATCAAATATCTAGGACCAGATTCAAGAAAACATGCATTAAGCATCAAGACATCAAATATCTTTGATTTGTCTAAGGGATTACAAAGGCTGTGGGATCGCTTTGACGAACGCTATGGGGCTCCAGAACTTGTAGAAGCTTCCATTAGGACCAAACTCTCCAACTTTCCAAAACTTGGAAATAAGGACGACGAGAAACTTTACGAGCTATCTGACATCCTCATGGAATTACAGTTTCTAAAGGAGGATCCCAAATATTCATGCATGCTTTCATATCTGGATTCTTCAGTGGGAATAAGGACAATAATTTCCAAATTGCCATATTCCATACAGGAAAAGTGGACCAACCATGCCGTGAAATATAAAAATACACATGGAGCCATCTTCCCTCCATTTAACATCTTTGTTGACTTCATCAAGGAGATGAGCAGAATCAGAAATGATCCCAGCTTTAAGTATCACAGTGACAGTAACCCACAACCATTGACCGCATTCAAGGGAAAAGTGAGCACCAAAAAGACAACTGTGACCCAACAGAATGAAACAGCTCATTCCCAAGATCATAAGGATGATGGATGTGTGATTCACAAGGGACCTGGGGTGAAACACAGTGTTGCTAACTGTAGAGTGTTCAAGTCGAAATCTCTGGAAGAACGCAGGAGACTAATGCGAGAGCATGGACTATGTTTCCGTTGTTGTTCTGGAATTCACAGAAAAGTTGACTGCAAGGCAAACATTAAGTGCAAAGACTGCAGAAGTGAATCTCACATCAGAGCATTGCATGTGGACAGCGCCTCAGCTTCCAGTGGCAGTTTTGAGAAACAGAAACGTGCACCAGTCCATGGCGGGGAGGAACCCCCTAAACAACCCCTTATTCCCAGTGAACATGTGACAACAGTGAACAGTAGCTGTACAGAAATTAGTGGGGAATTCAAAGGAAAATCCTGTGCCAGGATAGTTCCTGCAACAGTGATCTATTATGGAAAAGCTGTCTCCTTATATGCTATGTTAGATGATCAAAGTAACAAGACTTTAGCAAAGAAAGAAGTGTGTGACCTATTGGGCAATACAGACAATACAGTATCTGATGACATCGTGTTCTGGACAGGTGATGACATCAGGCAGAACAGCATCAGGATTGTTCATTGAGTCAGCAGACCGTCAGACAAGGCTTCAGCTTCCATGTGTCCTAGAATGTGATGAAATACCAAACAACTATCTAGAAATTCCCACCCCAGAAGTGGCAGCTCATTATTCACATATGCGAGATATTGCGAGTTCCTTTTCACCAGTCGACACTTCAAAGAAAATCATGTCACTGATAGGAAGAGATCTTCCTCAATCTCACCATGTGATAGAACAACGAATAGGACAGGAAGAGGAACCTTTCGCTCAAAGGTCACCATTAGGCTGGACGATTATCGGTGATACATGTTTATCTGGAAAACACATTCCGAAAGTGGCCACAGCGTACAAGACCTTTATTATTGAGAATGGTCGCAGAACTATTCTTGAACCTTGTGACCAGATTATTTCTGTAAAGGATCAGTTTATGAGGAATGACCTTGCCAAGACACACTTTCATGCTGATCGTGACGAGGCCTTGTTCCAGCGCACAAGGAATGACAATAAGATTGGAACATCAGTAGAGGACAGAATATTCACAGACATTATGAAGGAAGAGTTAGTCATAGGTCCAGATGGAAAGTGGGTAGCTCCTCTACCATTCCGTCAACCTCGACAACCCCTACCGAACAACTATGAACTTGCGTTACGACGTGCAAAGGCTCTAGATGCTAGTCTCAAGAAAAATCCAGTTCAAAATGACCACTTCACGACCTTCATACTAAAGCTGTTTGAAAATGACCATGCTGAAAAAGCACCACAATTACAACGGAACCAAGAAAGATGGTATTTACCACTCTTTGGGGTTTACCACCCACAAAAACCTCACCAAATTAGGGGTGTATTTGATTCCTCCGCGAAGTACGAAGGTACATCTCTGAATGACCAACTGCTCTCTGGCCCTAACCTCACAAACAATTTACTTGGAGTTTTGATTCGCTTCAGGAGAGAGATGATTGGAGTTGTAGCAGATGTGCAACACATGTTCCATTGATTTACTGTAAAAGAAGAACACAGAGATTTCCTAAGATTCCTATGGTACAAGGACAGTGAAGTTGGCAACAAGTTAATTGAATATAGAATGAAAGTACATGTTTTCGGGAATAGCCCCTCCCCTGCAGTTGCTTCATCAGGTTTGATGAAGATAGCTCACATGTCAAGGGACAGTCATGGTGCAGATGTAGAGGAATTCATTACAAGGAACTTCTATGTTGATGATGGCTTAACATCATGTTCAACAACAGCTGAGGCTATCAACTTGATACAGAGAACACAAGCTGCTATGAGAGAGTATGGAGGACTGCGGCTGCATAAGTTTGCGTCTAACAGTCTGGAAGTGATGAGTGCCTTTGAACCACAAGACTTGGTGAAGGACATTTTTGATCTGGATCTCGATAAGAATCTGTTAATGCAACGAAGTCTTGGCATTCAGTGGAACTTGACTGCAGATTCGTTCAAATTCAGCATTACAACAGAAGATAAACCACTGTCACGTAGAGGCGTACTTTCAACAGTGAACAGCATCTTTGATCCGTTAGGATTCCTCTCTCACGTGATTATCAATGGTAAACTTATCCTGCGAGACGTAGTCACAGAAACTGTAGATTGGGATGAACAGCTACCAGACTACCTCATGTCACGATGGATAGAGTGGAGCTCATCACTCAAAGCTCTAGAAGATCTATGTATTCCCCGTGTGACTGTACCGTACCTCAGTAAGGCCGTGAGAAAGGAACTTTGGACGTTTTGTGATGCATCAGAGAAAGCAGTGGCTGCTTTTTCTTATGTGAATGTACTCTACCCAGATGGTTCCTCTAAAACTGGATTTGTGCTCGGGAAGTCGAAGGTTGCACCAGTGTCTGGTCATACTATTCCACGCTTGGAACTTTGTGCAGCTGTACTTGCCGTGGAAATTTCACAGTCTGTCACAGAACATTTTGATGTAGTGTTTGATTCAGTGAAGTACTTCAGTGATAGTCGTGTTGTACTTGGCTATATAAACAATGACAAGCGACGATTCTTTATCTACGTATCTAACAGAGTGGAAAGAATACGGAGTTTCAGCAACCCAGGTCAATGGCACTATATCCCGACTCATCTCAACCCTGCTGATGAAGGTACCCGAGGAGTGTCACCAGGAGACGTAGCTACAAGTACTTGGTTAAATGGACCAGTAGATGTTCATTTGAGTGATCAGTATGACCAAACCATAACCTTTCCACTAGTTGAACCTCAAGTAGACAAGGAAATCCGACCCACTTGTCTAAAGACAGAGTGCAGACCATTGTTGGGCACTTCGAGATTTGAGCGATTTTCTGACTGGGATCGTTTGGTGGAGAGTCTAGCATTATTAAAACGCTTTATAGTGTACAGGAAGGAAGACAAATCACTGATTTTGCCAAAATCATTGAGCTACTATCAACGGGCTGAGCACTTCTTGATCAAGACAGTGCAACAGGAAGTCTACGCTGAAGAAATTGACTGCTTGCGCTCAAGTCAACCATTACCGCAGAACAGCAGCATACTTACCTTAGACCCATTTATCGATGACGAAGGAATCATCCGAGTAGGTGGACGTTTGAAGTACCTGCGAACTGATGTTATCTGCAAAAATCCCATCCTACTGTCAGGGAAGCACTACTTAGCAACCTTATTGATTCGCAAATGCCATCAACTAGTCATGCATCAAGGTCGACATTTTACAGAAGGGAAAGTTAGATCAATGGGATACTGGATGACAGGCTGCAAGCGTCTCGTTTCTTCACTTATTCACAAGTGTGTAACTTGCAGAAAACAACGTAGGCAGTTCAGCAACCAGAAAATGTCTGACCTACCAGAAGATCGCATTGAGCCAGGACAGCCACCGTTTACATCAGTCGGTGTAGATATCTTCGGGCCATGGGAAGTGTTGACTCGTCGAACCAGAGGAGGTTCCGCAAACAGCAAGAGGTGGGCGGCGTTGTTTACTTGTCTGGTGACACGTGCCGTACACATTGAAGTCCTGGAGGAGATGTCATCCTCGTCCTTTATCAATGCCTTGCGTAGATTCACCGCCATACGAGGATATGTGAGGGAGTATCGTTCAGACAGGGGAACCAATTTCATTGGTGCTGTTGATCCACTACATATCAATGCTATCAACATAGAGGATCCACCAATCAAAGACTTGCTGTACTCGGGAGGATCTGTCTGGATCTTTAATCCCCCCATGCGTCACACATGGGTGGCGTATGGGAGCGAATGATTGGGGTAACACGCCGTATCCTAGACAACATGTTAAACGAACATAGCGCCCAAGGACTCACGCATGAAGTTTTATCTACCTTTCTTGCCGAAACCAGTGTAATTATAAATTCGCGCCCTCTGACCTCCATTCCTACAGATACAGACACGCCTTTCATTCTCACTCCGAACATCTTGCTTACTCAAAAGACAGACACTCTGAACGATGAAGTTTGCAACACAGATGCTAAGGATCTACTAAGAGTGCAGTGGAAAAGACTTCAACACCTTTCCAAGATGTTTTGGGACAGATGGAAAAAAGAATATCTGCACACGTTACAGATTCGGAAGAAGTGGCATCAAGATCAAAGAAACGTTAGTGTGGGTGATGTCGTACTGCTTAAGGACCTAGAAACCCATCGAAACATGTGGCCCCTCGGGCTTGTGATCAAAGTGTTTCCCGGTAAGGACAAGTTAATTCGCACGGTGGAAGTTCGTGTCAGCAAGGACGGAAAGACTCTTACATACATCAGACCGGTGACAGACTTGGTAGTTTTGTTAGAGGAGTGAACTCTTGATAGTGAAAACATTGTGATATCAAGACAGATATCAGACGGGGAGTGTTTTGGCTTCATTTTCAATTTCCCCTACTTTAGCTTTTCAGTGTATTTTTTAAATAGAATAGTTTGAGGTACGAACTAATATTTTTCGTGCGACTTAATTTGATGTTTAAGATTGCCGCCATACTTTGTTGATTTTTTTGTCTTTCTGTCTGAACCCTGGCCATCTACAGTGTAAGTTGATAATAGAATTTATTTTATGTTAAATTTCTTGGTCTTTATCTATATTACTTGTGTGTTAAATGCTGTAGATGCTAACTTTTGCATTCTCTAAAATTTTGTAAATCTTTGAATTCCATGTGCCCGGAGTATGGTGCGCCATTATGTACATCAGTTTTTTGAATCGTGTATTGTCATCTATATTTTTGAGTGAACACTTATTATTATCTTTTTGAAGTAATACGCTTAACTATTCTTACAATTTAAGAAATTTTATTATTGTGTACATTATTAATGTGCTTGCTTTACTATTTAGAACACCTGTTTGTGAAAATTTTTCTACGGAAAGTCATAGCTGTCATTAATTTTTCTTATTTGGTTATGTTACAGCTTTTTACCATATCCTTATGGTTATCTTTCTGCTGAGTATTATCTGAATAAAGTCATTATTGCGGCAGAACACTGTGGTTCCAGCAGGTTGTTTCTTTATTTAGTGGACTTAAGATTTTCAGTCATGGTATGTTTGACTTTTCGTTTGGTTTTTATCCTTGAAGTTTAAGAATTGTTTCAGGATGAGATTTCTATATTTTCCAGTAGTTAAAACTTGCATGTTTAATTATTTTAGCACAGCACAGCACTCAGATAAATTTTCTATAATTTGGAGAGCCTGAATTCCATAATTTTGGTAAGTTGTTTGTTAAATACTATTTGTAAATGTAAGTGTAAATTATTGTTTGATTTTATTGCTAAACTTTCATAATTAAATAGGTTCAGTGGAGATCACTTTATAAATTAAATTTATAAGTGTTTAAACTATATCTTTATTGAGTAAATGCGTTCAGATACGTATTTTCAGTGAGAGGCTATTTTATAATTAGTGTTTTGTATTATAATATGAACACTTTATTATTGTATACATTACTGAGGTTTTGCACATTATTTTACAGGGCTAATTATCTTTATTATCGGGAATATCCTATTTCCTATGTGTGAAATGAGTTGGAAATATTATAATATATAACCTGCTGAACTTTGAAACCTGTGTTGTCTTCTTTTAATATACAACCAAGGTTTACATTTGGAGCCCCCCAGTTTGTGATCGAATTCGTGCAGAACCAGTTTGTGTTCTTTATTCCATTTTTTTCACTCAAGGGATTTACACAGTGCTTTGTGTGGAGAGAACTATTCATGTTACACCTGAGTGACGCGCATCTGTAGGCGGATCCTATTTTAAGAATGGAAAACCCCGGGAAATAGTTACTTCCGGAAGTGAAAGCAAGCATAGAAGTTGATCCATGCTCAAGTTGTAGATTTACAGTCACCAACATTTCCATTTGGATTTTCGTTTATTATATGGACCCAGACAGTCCGGTAAATACGAAAACTTCCTACTAGTGACGTGTTTTGATTTACACCGAAGAACGAACATATAGCCGTTGCCTTGTCGAATATTTTGTGTACGACTGCACCTACAACTGCGAACCGGAAACATGTGTTGCTGGATGTAAACAGTGTGGTATCAACTGTGATTACCGAGTGTGTTTTCATTTTGTTACTTTAATTCATTTCAGTTTAGATTTATTGGATTTATTTATTTTCATTTCTATTATTTCCTTTTCATTTTGGATTTATATATATATTTTTTTTCCTTGTGTTTTTGTGAATTTAAAATTGTGTTGTGTCTCCACTGAAGATCAAGTGAAACCAAAGTTGACAGCATCAAGTAAAGTAAGGGTAAGCTAAACAAATTAAAATACTTAAACATTTTTAAAGAGTAAAGACATTCATAAATAATTTAAAGAAAATCAATCATTAGGTAATTGCATGGCACTACTAACAATGCATGGTATCACTAACCGGTAAGTTGTAGTATTTATAGGTCTACAGTCACAAAGCAAGGTCTTCATTGAGGTGTATATTCTGTTGAACAGTCCTGGTATTAACCGTCCAGTGAGTTGTGGGTATTTTGAGTTGACATTGTACACAATGACCTAGATATTTAAAGAACCATACTGATTGAAGTTTGTTTGTTGTCTACAGGGCACTAGTCCAAAGGGTACTATCAGTGATACTACTGGATAACTTGAGTACTGTGTTAGAAATTTCAAATTGATTAGATTAAGAGTGTATGACAAACTTGCATTTTCTGATCAAAGTGTTATGTTGATCAGGGTTCTCCATCATTTGAAATTTTACTGTGTTGCAGAGTTTACGCGAAGCACCAATATTTCGCGGTATTTTCGCCAACAAATTTGTGACTGAATCAAAATTCATTATACGAGGGTCGTTCAATAAGTAATGCAACATGTCATCTAAAAGTAAGAAAAGTACGCAGTACATATTCTTAATAGTTTCAATTCCTCAGGGCATTTCCTGGTACCCTGTACACGTATCTTAGGTGTTTGTATCCATGAACAGAAATCCTCAGCATACTCATCTATAAGGATGCCCCAAAGACACTGACGATTATCATTTCCCATGACATATCTAACATTGTACAATCTTCCTTCAATTGTTTTCATGTATTTTGAGAATGAAAAGATCTCTTGGCTGCGATCAAGCTAATATGGGTGATTGAAAAGTCTTGCATACTGTCTTTTCTTCAAAATCTTCTTTACTTTCCTTAGCGTATATATGCAGCTGAGTTGTCAGGCACAAGAAAAATACCCTGGTCGCGGAATTTTGGACTTCCTTTGCATGAAATCTGTTCAAAGTTCCTTTGTGTAATTTGAAGATAAAACTTACCATTGCTAGTCCTTCATTTGGATGTATTTACATGTTTTATGGACCTCTGTGATTACACGAAAACTAATAAAACATGTTTGGCGCCATTGCTTTTTTCTTTATGATAATTAAATGACACCCTTTTCTTTGATTCTATATTTTTATCATTAATCTTATTTTACAGATAAAAAAGAGGGCACCCTTGTTTCGTCATACATTAAGCTGGGGTATCAAATCTTTTATTTTGTTTAGACATTTGTTTTTAAATAAACCGTTTGTACATTTAACTAATGTTCTGTCTTGGGCAATTGACAGAAAATAGGGCACCTATCTCATTGAAATATTGTTATATTTCTTTCCTATGTCAGAATTCTACAAACTTCTGTTCCAGATAATTTTCTTCTACATGCCAAAATCATATCTTAAATATGAGGTTTGTGGCGATTTATATAAAAAGTGCAATTTCCAAATACTCTCTTATTTTCATTTTCCTGGCAGAGATAATTTTAAAACAGTTTTCAGCTCAGTGTAGTGACCATGCTTATTTTAAACTTGGATTTCTTCGCAAAGACAGTATCAAAATTCGTTAGATTTTCTGTGTTCAGGAGATCTTAAATAGAACTTTGCCAATATGAAAAAAAATTAAATGCCTCAACATTTATTATGATATACTGTTTATTTCATTACTTATTGAACGACCCTCGTAATTACAAAAGATAAGAAGCACACACTTATTCAAATATCGCCAATTTGTTACACAAATGGTACGGTCGTACGTACTGATGAAAGGAAAAAAACGTTCGGAAAAACAGAGGAAAATCTGACTGATATTCGAACTACTTAACATTTTTGTGAAAGTAGATTTGCCGCGTTTATTTTTCAGGTTTCTTGATCGAGTTACTGCATTACTAAAAAGGAACCTCAGAACAGTAAACATGCTGAATTTCAAAATTTTCGGCAATTTATTTACATCAATAAAATGACTTCGGAACGATGTCGTGTTTGACATACAGTGCTTACATAATTCTAGAGCCGTGGCTCTACAGGAAAGACATACATTGTACGTACATATTTTTCATAAGTAATACAATGTATTTTATTGCAGCTACCAATTAACCGGCACATCGAGTTGTGAAAACAATTTATTTGTCTTTGTTCCGTCATGCATTAAGTCCGGCGAGGGTCTACGAGATAATTGATTGACTACTCAAGGTGAAGCCCCAGTAATTAAGTGTTATAACTTTTTGAATTGAAAAACGGTAGAATTGTTTGATAAAAGTTTCAATTAGACAGAATTTGTGTGTTTAGATTTTCTTATTATCACAACTCTTACTGTGTCGGCAGAATTTTTACTGTGTCGCATGCATGAAATTTGAATCGTTACTGTGTCGGAGAAAATTTTACTGTGTCGGGAGCAACACAGTAAAACAGCTCATGGAGAACCCTGGTTGATCATTTGATCTTTGTCATCAATAGGTCACCCATTTTTTTAGCTACAGTTATATGTTATTGTACTGAT